TAAGGAGGTGAAAGATCTCTACAATGAAAATTACAAACCACTGATGAAAGGAATTAAAGAGGACATGCAAAAAATGGAAATACATCCCATGTTTATGGATTACAAGAATTAATATTTTTAAAATGACCATACTACCCAAAGCAATCTACAGATTCAATGCAGTCCCTATCAAAATATCAATGACATTTTCACAGAAATAGAAAAAAAATCCTAAAATTTGTATGGAACCACAAGAGACCCAGAATAGCCAAAGCAATCCTGAGCAAATAATAATAATAATAATAATAATAATAATAATAATAATAATAATAATAATAATAATAATAATAATAATAATAATAATAATAATAATAATAATAATAATAATAATAATAATAATAATAATAATAATAATAATAATAATAATAATAATAATAATAATAATAATAATAATAATAATAATAATAATAATAATAATAATAATAATAATAATAATAATAATAATAATAATAATAATAATAATAATAATAATAATAATAATAATAATAATAATAATAATAATAATAATAATAATAATAATAATAATAATAATAATAATAATAATAATAATAATAATAATAATAATAATAATAATAATAATAATAATAATAATAATAATAATAATAATAATAATAATAATAATAATAATAATAATAATAATAATAATAATAATAATAATAATAATAATAATAATAATAATAATAAATAAAATTCAACTGCTGGGTTTTTATCCAAAGGAAAGCAAATTAGCATAACAAAGAGATATTTGCACCCGCATATTTATTGCAACACTATTCACAATAGCCAAGATATGGAATAAACCTAGGTATCCATCAGCAGATAAATGGATAAAGAAAATGAGGTGTACATACGCAATGGAATACTACTCAGCCATGATAAAGAATGAAATCCTGTCATTTGTAGCAATATGGGTGAATCTGGAAGACATTATGTTAAGTGAAATAAGTTAGGCACAGAAAGATAAATTCTGCATGTTCTCACTCATATGTGAGCTAAAGAAACCCCTGAATTTTTAGAAGTAGAGAGTAGAACTGTGGTTTCTAGAGGCTGGGAAGGAGAGGGTAGAGGCAGGAATAGAGAGAAATTCATTAATGGACACAAAATTACAGTTATGTAGAAAAAATAAGTTCTAGTGTTGTATAGTAGTATTAGGCATCTATAATTAATAATAATTTATTGTATGCTCTCAGATGGCTAGAAGAGAGGAGCTTAAATGTTCTCATCACAAAGAACTGACAAGTATTTGTGATGATGAATTTGCTAACTATTCTGATTTGATCATTACACATTGTATACGTGTATTCAAATATAACTCTGTACCCCATCAATATGTACAATCAAGATGTTTAAATTAAAAGTTTAATAAATTCCTTTTTTTTTTTTTTTGTCCTTTTTGAGACCGGCCGCACCACGTTCAGCCAGTGAGCGCTGTGAATGCACCGATCATCCCTGTATAGGATCCGAACCCGCGGCGGGAGCGTCGCCGCGTTCCCAGCGCCGCACTCTCACGAGTGCGCCACGGGCTCGGCCCAATAAATTCCTTTAAAAAAAATCCACCAATAATGATTATATTTCATTCTCTATCACCTTACTAGCACTTACTTTTTAAAACAATTTTATTTTACCATTTTTTATTGTTGGTAGTAACTTGCTTTTGTTTTATAGTTTGTAACATTAGATTTTTTCTTTGGCCATTTTTAAAAACAAAAACTGATATTACTTCAATAAATGTATTATTTTTTTCAGATATTCTAGTTGCATTTACCACAAGAGTTTCCCCATCTGCAGCTTTACTTTTTGCCTTAATTGGTATCTGTGAATGTGTGCAAGTATTTTGTGTAATTTTTTAAACTGTCAAATTCATTAAACCTCTCAGTCCTTTTTTAAAATTCATTTAATCTAGACTCTCTTTTAACAAAAATTCCAAATATGGCTTTGTATTGTTTTTTACTTGTTGATACCTAGTTTTCTTATGACTTTCCTTAGAACAACTCACATTCCTCTTACTATATTTCATCCTGTTTTTTTTTCAGATGTGCTTCTGAAATCCTATTTTTTAAACTGCATGACTCAGTATTAATATTATTCATTATTATATTAAAATTATTAGCTGACTTGATTTCTTACTTTTTAATATTTATATTTTATAATTGCTATGTCAATTTTAAAAAGTATTTCTACTGGGATTTTAATTGTTACTGCATTAAATCTATATATTTGTTTGAGATGCAGTATCCCTTTTTTACTGGGATTGATCTACCAAACCAAAAGTAGGATTCTTTTACTAATGCTCTTCTCACTATAAATTTAACTGTGTGTGTGAATATTATTGTTTATGGACTCTACTTTAGCATTTTTATGTATGTATATAGCATGTATATATGTATATATTTTAATTGAAAAACTGTATTGAAGGATTTTTATGGTTTTACAACTTAAAAACATACATAAATATATACTTATACATATATTTCTGGGCATATGATTCAGCTATTTACAGTAATTTTAAAATCTTTTTCTATTATTTGTCGTTAATTTACTTTATATCTCTTATACTGTTTGATTAAAAGAGGTGAGGTAAGAGGATATGTTTTTTTTCAGAATTTTAAGAAAACTTTGTAACCTAATAGCAAGATCTGGTAGTAAGTAATGAGCATCAGGATTTGTAATCGGAAGCAGATTGAAACAGTATTTACAAAAGGAATATAAATTTGAAAATATATTGAGTCAGACAAATAGTATTTATGTTGAAGATTTTGAAAAGAAATACAAAAATGTGCAATGCTTTTAATAATCACTCATTCTGAGATTAACAAAGGACTCCAATGTGGTAACCATGCTGATAGTCCTTGAATACAAAGATAAAGTTGGTCCCTATGTGCAAAGACTTTATAGTATGGTCATTTAAAAACCTCTTAAGGAGCCTCCAGCATCATATGAAATGTACTGAAATGCAACTACACACCACATGAAACACTTTTTATTGTAAAAATATGAAAGATTAAAAAAAATTTTTTTTCATTTGAAATTATTATCCAAAGAGTAATTTATTTTGATTAGATGTAATTTCTCAGTAATATAAAATTGCAATTTTCAAAGCTAGAACATCTAACCTGCAAAATGTTTTTCAATTTTGAAACCATTTTTTAGGTCTAAAGAATTTTTGGAGGCCATTAAAAATTATTAAGCCTAATAAAAATATTAAAAAACTATTAATCCATGAGCACTGTGCATACAGGGCTAATGAAAAATTACTTTCTTATGGTCTGCTACAGGAGCCATTGAGATCAGTACAATTCAGTATAGTGCTATGTAAATTTTTATATACCCAGATTTATTGGATTGGAATAAATTATATTTCACATTTATAAATTTTAATTTAATTGGATCCAGCAAACATGTATCAAATGTCTTTTATATTCAATGTATAATGCTAAGCTGAAGAAACATGAGTATTATGGAAATAATACAGACTTAATAGGGGGCCAGGTTACCTATCTGGGTTATCAAACTATGTGATGTGTTACTTTTAAACTCTTAGATTTTTTTACTTGCAAAATTAGAGCATTGGCTGATATCATGGATCTTACAATTCTAAAGTGATCTAATTTCCAGTTTTCACCTAGCTTTTTAATTGATCTTGTATTCATATTTTAGTTTTTCTCTGGCCTCTAAGAATACTAAAATTGTAATGAATAGGTTAAAAGATGAGCACTTTGGAATTCATGCTGAAGAATATATTATATGTCATTTTATCCTTTTTGATAAAATGAAGTTTCTTTAAATGAAATGAAGAAACTTATTTTCTTTAAGTAAAATGAAGCAATTCCTTTTAAATTTATGAAAATTAGAATTCTAAATAACATTAGGGGACTAAAATTCTTGGAAAATGCTGAGATTTACTATAGAGCTTTTATGAAATAACTTCAAAGCAGTTAAATAAGATTTAAGTTGGGCAAAGAATTAGAAGGGAAATCAAGAATGAAAAGACTGGGAAAATAAAGTCCTTTCTAGAAAGTATAAACCTTAAATTTGTTTCTCAACACTCCTGACAATAATAATCACTACCGTTTATACAGTGCCTACTATGTGCCAGATATTTCACAAGCATAATCTCTAATTCTCATGGTAATCATTTAAAGGAGAAAACAGGTAATCTACTCAAAGTTACAGTTATTGTGTGGCAGTGCTATGATTTAGATCTGGATATTTAAAACTGAGCTATCATGCTGCTTTCCTGACTATTTTCATTTTCCTGCTTCTTATTGGTTACCTTTGTTCCTTGTTATATATATTGGAAGTTTTAGAAGAATTCTCTTTGACTCTGATGTAGGATCATATCTTTGAGGGTAATCTTCAGAATTTTATTTTGTCATCTATTCATTTCATCATAAATACCAAATTAAGGGAAAGTTAAAGATAGTTCAGAGCCTGGTCATAATTGCCATTAGTTTTATTGCTACCTCTCCTGTTAATAGAGCATATGTTATTAGAGCAGGGAATTTGAGTTAATGGATTGTGTTATAGAGAATGATATTGCTGTCCTCTACAGTCTTAGATGCAATGTCTGCTTCTGCACTGTGTGTAGTACAGGGCTTGGAGGCTCTTTACTAAAGAGTCAATCTTGCTGGGTGGATACCCTCTGGTTTCCATCCTATTCACTCATGTGACCTTCACTCTGCAAAGCTGAGATGAGGTGTCCTGATACTGAATCTTTAGCTGTTTTTGCAACAGGCTTGCCAGTAGTCTATCTGTTCCTGCAGTCCCCGTACTCATGCTACCCTCTGGTGAGAGGCCAAAAGCTCTTGCTGATGTGCTCGAAGTACCCTCTGAAAATAAGAATGTGCTTATTGTCACTACTACTCCTGCTGCCATCCCTGCCCCTTTATCAGGCACTATAGGTTGATACTGCAGGAGTGTGTGAACTCTTGAACACAGTATATGTGGGAGGCATGTTGGATTCATTCCTGTCTAGTATAACCATAAAACGTGGGCCCAAACATTTCAGGGTTCATGTGAAGGCTCGTGATGCTGAATTGCTCTTCCCCTCTACAGAACTTCATGGCATATGCCTAGGGGAAGAACAAATATGAGAAGTAAAGAAAGTGCGACCAGCAAGGTCTCCCTTCTCTTCTGACAGCTGAACAAGAGGAAATTGTTGCATATGCACCACAGTGCATGGTCAGGATGCTGTAGGTAGCATTACAACATGGGATATGAAATTAATAATTGCTGACTGCTACTAAGGAATCTCTGAAATTCAGATTTGAGGAACTCTTTGGAGAAGAACTAGGAGCCTCCCCAGTGTGCCATGGCCCCAGATGGAGGCTCATTTGGCTTTGAGCCCTTCTAAATGCAATCCAGGTGAGCCTCAGTACCAAAGGCTCTGCAGGACCTTTAGCTGCTTTCTCAAAAGTGCCTTGGCCCCATCTCAAAGTCTCTGCAAAGACTTACCACTGGGCTCCTGTCCTCACTGTCAAACACAGACGTGCCCAGTGTGTTGCCAGCTAGGGTGGCTTGGGTACCGCTGTAGGCCACTGGTGGTCTCAGGATGTAAATAAGGTTTTCCCAGTGAACAAAAAGATCTCTTGTATCTGAAGAGGCACACAGCTGAAGGTAAAAAGAGCAGCCAGTGGCAAGCTTCAGGCGAAGCTGTTGTTTTATACTGTTATGGATGGTTATCTTTACAAACTTTAAGGGAAGGAGCCTGGTTAGCTCTAAAATCTGTGTGGGATTGCTTCCTATTTCCTGGGTGGCAGTGCCACATCTGGTATGGTCATTACAGACAGTAGCTGGTCGGGCCAGCAGCATGACATCAGGTAGTGTGAGGCTGGGGCTAGTTCGAACGACTCCCACAGTCACCTTTTGGGCACGGTTGTGCACATCAATCACTTCTCCTCTTTTGCTGATCTGGATAAAGTCACTCTCAAACATTGGTGCATAACTGAATAAAGTATACTCCCCTTTGTACAGCTGTCGCTGCAGTTTCCCCATGCAGGAATTAAACATACCCATTGCAGTGCTGCTTTGGGCAGTGTAGTATGGTAACATCAATTGGTTGTTCATGGCTGTCTTTTATCAATACAGCTCCTAGGGGCTGCTCCACACCTTCCTTAACACAACTTGCAGGGCATCCTGTTTCCCTGGCCCCTCTGGCAGATGGACAAACAGTCCTCTTCCTCAGGCTTTTTTGTCCCTCAGCGTCAGAGGAAGGGGCGGGGTGCTGATTACCGACTGCTCAGTGCCAGAGAAAGTTGGGCCCCTGGATCCAGACCGTGCCCTCCCTGCCTACTGCATGGAGATGTCGGGCGTGCAGAAAAGTCTGGGCCCAGGTAGAGGTCGCAGCATGCAGGTGTCGGGCCCTTGCAGATGTTGGAGCCCTCATAGATGTCAGAGCAGGCATATGTCGGAGGCACCAGTAGATGCTGGGGACGCAGATGTCGGCGCTCACTTGGGAGGGACCTTCGCTTGAGCTTGACACTCGGGTTCACAGCATCTTCCACTCTTTGATTCCGCACCTCAACTGCCAATCATTATCCCACAGCTCTTCTCCCTAAATCTACGCACTCACCTTTGCTAAACCACCCCCGCGGTGCCTTTTATCCTCTCCTGCCCATTGTGATCTGGACGCATGACGCACCCTTTTGTGTGTCACCTAGCAGCCACTCCCTCAGGGCAGGAACAGCTCTCTACCGTTCCCCACCCCCTCACTGACACCACCCCGCCACTGCTCAGCAAACCACCCTCTTCCCCTAGGGACCCGTTTAGAGATCTTAATACAGACTGACAAATGGCTTTCAAAAAGGGTTAGGCAAACTTTCTGTTAGGTATAAAAGTTTAAAATATACATTTTTTACATACTCTTTTATCCAGTACTTCTAATTGTAGAAATTTACCTTAAGACACGATTGGACAAGTTGGTAAACAGGTTACTACAGGATGTTTATCAATGTTTATCATAGCATAAAAGATTATCAACAAGATTAATATCTTACAATAGGGGATTGGTTAAATAAATTATGAGGCATTCTATGATAGAATACTCTTCAGCCATAAAAATTATGTAGTTCCCTATTTATTGACATGAAAAGATATCCCTGACCTTTTTTTTTTCTTTAAAAAAAAAAAAAAGAGCAAAAGAGATTTCATACTAATAGTGTGTGATTCAATTTATGTAAGATGGTGTGTGTGTATGTTTAGGTATGGAATTACGTTCAGTGAAATATTTGAAGTGCTCTGAATGGTGTAATTTAATTTTTATTTTCTTCTTTATACTTTAAATTTTTGTTAAGAAAATTATTATGTCTGTTACTAGGAAAACATAAAGCTGTTTTTATTAGCAATGTCTTTTTTCTTTTTTTATAGTCATGATATATTTTATGTTTTGTCTCACCCTCAAATTGCTGATGAGAGTTTTAAGCTTTTTTCTAGACATTTGTACTTTGGCTATATGGTGGAAAGAGCCTTAAACATTACATTTATGCTGCAGTCTTTACCCACTATCAGATTGTATTGAAAAAATAAAGCTCTGAGGAATTTTGTTAGCTACTATAAATATTATCAATTCAATAAGATTATAATATTTTTATTGACATGATAATATACATGATAACACATACACATATATATACAGCCATAGTTATTGAGTCTTTAGTTATATAGGTCAATTTGGTTATAGGGGTCAATGCAAACATAATTTATTACTTTCAATTGAAGTGTCGACTTCTTTCTTTTTTTTTTTATTGGTTGTGAATATTCATGAGATACAAAGCTGATTGTCACACCTTGTGCCCAAGATGTGAAGGCCAGATCCATACTGGCAGCATGTCCATTACCGTAAATTGCATTTATGCCCTGTGTCCCCAACCCAATTATCCCCAACCTCTCTTCCCCTCCCCCTTTCCCCCCACTCTACTTTGTATCATCAAGGTATGTTCTCTCCCTCTGCAAGACCAGCGCATCCCTGTCGTCTTTCTTTCCTTCCTTGATAATGAATATTTTTCTTTTACTTACTGTGAGGCCTATTCACATTTTAATAGCACTTCTTACTGGCCTTTCCAAAGTCCTTATATTTTAATTACCACTTCAAATCTATGTTACCTACCTTGTAATTAGTAAAAACAACAAGCCTAATATACATTTAATAAACTAACATTTTTAAAGTATCCAAGTGGTTCTGTTGTTTTTTGAAAGGAATTACTAGATGGGTAGCATTGGACATAGCATAATTTAATTTAGGTGCTTTAAAAAAAAAACTGCCGATATGCCAGTGTTCTTAGAGCACTTTTATGCTATGCCCATATATGACAAGATATTTATCTTAGGGTTCTAGCAGAGCACTGAGTTAATTGCCTTATCTCTGGGATTGATCTACAAACCAGGAGTAGGATTCATTTACTAATGCTCTTCTCACTATAAATTTAAGTGTCTGTGTGAATATTATTGTTTATGGACTCTACTTTAGCATTTTTATGTATGTATATAGCATGTATATTTGTATATATTTTAATTGAAAAACTCTATTGAAGGATTTTTATAGTTTTACAACTTAAAAAAATATATTAATATATACATATACATATATATTTCTGGTCATATGATTCAGCCATTTACAATAATTTAAAAATGTTTTTCTATTATTTATCCTTAATTTACTTTATATCTCTTACACTGTTTGATTAAAAGAGGTGAGGTAAGAGGTTATGCATTGTTTCAAAATTTTAAGAAAACTTTGTGCCCTAATAGCATTGGACATAGTATAATTTAATTTAGGTGCTTTAAAAAATAACTGCCCGATATGCCAGTGTTCTTAGAAGCACTTTTATACCATGCCCATATATGACAAGATATTTATCTTAGGGTTCTAGCAGAGCACTGAGTTCATTGCCTTATCTCCAGGGAAACCAGAAACTATTTTACCTATAGAGCCTATAGACTTTTAGATTTTCCAAACCAGTCATTAGACCAACAGCAGTAGAACCTTTTATTTGGCCTGATAGCCATCAGGTGTAGCATTCTGGCAAGTATGTCTCCATTTTTATGAATTTGTTGAAATTTATCTGAAATTCCTCTAGCTATTTAGAAAACTATCTTATTAGCATTTGCCACAATATTTGAGAAGCTCAATAGCTAAATAAAAATCTACATGAACCTGAGATCAATAAATTATTTTTATGTAAATGCAGCAACTTTCTGTGTGCTTGCTCTTAAAACAGATTTCTATACACTTAGTCATTAGTTACTCTTAAAATAAATTTATGCTGTCTCACCTCTACATTAGGCTTGGTGTCATTGGGTAAATCATTTAGCCTCCCTGGGCCTTATTTTTCTCATCCTTGAAACTGAGATGATTTCTTAAATGTTTTTCAACTCTAGGATAGTTACAGTTTTGTGATAGGGTTTTAGCTTTTTCCCCCTGTAATAAAACTTGGAAATACTTCAAACAATAATAACTAATGAAGGTTTTATTCAAATAATAACAGCTCTGGGAATTGGGTAATTCAATATATAATCTTATTCTGTTGCTGAATTTTTTCTTTCTGTAACTCTTATTTATTTATTTTTGATTATACCTATTTATGGAGTACAGAGTTGACTATCAGTATTTGTGTACAGTATGTAGTGATCAAATCAAGATTATTAGCATATTCATCATTACAAATCATAATTACTCTTTGTGTCCCTTACCCAATTACTCCCTAACCCCCTTCCCCCTCTTTCTTTCCCACCTCTGGTAGCTATAGGTCTGTTCTCTCCTTCTGAAGTTCAACGTTTTATTGTGGCCTTTCTTTCTTTCTTCTTACCTCATACTTATAAGTGAGAACATGCAGTATTTCTCTTTCTGTGCCTGGCTTATTTCACTTAACATAATCTTCTCTAAGCTCATCCATTTTGCTGCAAATGGCAGAATTTCATTCCTTTTTATGGTTGAGTACAATTCCATTGTGTATATATACCACATTTTCTTTATCCAGTCATCTGTTGACTTTCTGAAACTTTTAAAAGAACCAGTGTTTGAAATGTGGAAATGAAAAATGTTAGTTCAGTAAGATGGGCAGTCAGGGGGGGCAGTGCTTAAAACTATATAATTGAAAATATGGATTAAACATTTAAAAAAATTTTTATTATTCCTACATGTGGGGTACAATGTTGACTTTCAATAATTGTGTAGAATGTGTGGTAGTTAGATCAGTATAGTTAGCTTATAAAAAAAAATGAAATTCTACCATTTGCAACAACATGGATGAGCCTGGAGAAAATTATCCTAAGTGAAACAACCCAGGTACAGAAAGAGAAATACCACATACATGTTCTCATTCATAGCTGGGAGCTGAATCCATAAATATACAAATGAATAATAAGAGGATTAAACATTTTAAAGAGAATTCAGCTAATAATGAAATCGCTGTGGCTGACAGAATAGTTCCCCCTAAAGATGTCTACATCCTAATCTTCATAACCTGTGAATATGTTACCTTACATGACAAAGGGACTTTGCAGATGTGATTAAGTTAAGGATCTCGAAATAGGGATATTATCTGGATTATACTGGTGGGCCCAGTGTAATCACAGTTGTCTTTATAAGGGAAAGGTAGGAAGATCAGAGTCAGAGAAGAATGTGTGTGTTGGAAACAGAGGTCAGAGTGATACAGCCATGAACCGAGGAATGCAGGCATCCTCTGAAAATGGATCCTCCTGTAGAGCCTCTGAAAGAAACCAGTCCTGCCAACACGTTGATGTTAGCCAAGTGAGAATCATTTCAAAATTTTGACCTCGAGAACTCTAAGAGAATAAATTTGTGTTGTGTTAATTGGCTAAGTTTGTGGTAATTTGTGACAGCAGCCCTAGGAAGCTATTAACAGATTTTGGTTCCTAGAAGTAGGTGCTGCTGTAATAAATATATAAAAATATAGAAATGGCTTCAGCGCTGGGAACTGGATAGAGGCTGGAAAAATTTTGAGGAGCATGATAGAAAATCTTTGATGCCTTGAGCAGAATTGTGGATATTAAAGATTCTGTTCGTGAGGGCTCAGGAAGAAGTGGTATAGTGGAGAAAACCTATATTG